GAAGACTAAAATAGGATAATTTATTGAAAGTTGTTAAAGGAGAAATTATATCCTCCTTCCAGGCTCATGGGCAACTATTTCTCTTCTATGGCAAAAGAAATTGGAGGAGGTTCCAAGTATTTAGGAAAGGAGGAAGAGGTTTATTCCTTGGAGAGAGTTAAACCAAAGTTTCCAGAAGCAAGCTGTGCAAATTAAGTGAATTTATGCAGACTGAATGCTGAGTTCCTGTGGTGGATTAACTAATGGTCAACTTGTAACACCCAACTGAACTAAATCAGCATGGTTCTGGGGTGGAAGGCCCACCTGAGGATTGCTGCCATGGGCTTTAGGTCTTCAGCTGGACTCATGCAGGACATCGTTGTGGGATCCAGACCCTCAGCTGGATTCTTTGGGTTTCTAGTGCATCAATAGGTCTTTTGAAGAAGGAGTCAAGGCTCTGGGCTGTGCATTAGGAAGAGAGCTCATATTAGTACTCTCCATTCTGTCCAAACTAAGGCGGACCAGATAGTGCGGCAGAGACTGCTCCTCGGGCTGGTAGAATACCTGATATGAAAGAGTGTGCTGAGAAAAGACACTGACAACTGAGTTTGTGGTTGAGCAAAAATCTTAGCAAATGAAAAAAAATGATGACTATAAACTCCAGAAAAAACAAAAATGTGTACATGAGGAAAAGGTTAGTTATAATTTATTGCATAACTCAGCTTTACTGCATACTAAAATCAACAGGGAGGAGTGAGCTAATAAAAACCTACAATAAACCTGTAATTACAATGTTATAATACAACATTAAGCAGATGGTGGAGTGAATAAAGAGCATGGAAAGAAGGGTACAGATAAAAGCAAAACAAGTGTATCTTTCATTGTGGTGGAGGGTCACTAGATTTTGCCTAAAACTGAAAAATCAAATAGTAGCAAAACAAATGAATTATAGAGAAATACGGAAGTAATTACCAGAAGAATCGGTTAAATGAGCTCAAAGCAGTTGTCTCTGGAGAAGGAAAAAGATGTGAGAGAGAAACTAGATAATAGTGTTTATCTTATAATCTTATAATATCAAAAGCATTGAAACCAGCCAGGCATTTAGCTCAGTGCCATAGCGCCTGCCTGGCAAGTGAGAGGTCATGAATTCGATCCCTGATACAAAAACAAAAAAGCAAAAAAATTGAAACTGATTTAAATATCTACTAAGAGGACACAGGTTAAATGAATTCTAATACCATATGACCCAGTGCCTTTTAAAACTATGTCTATGTGTAGCATATATTCTTTGAAAATAAAATATTTTAAAATACCATTATATTCCCACAAATAACAATGGGAAAAATATGTTTAAAAGAACAGGTATAACAGATGTTTAACTCACAAGCCATACAGTTTACCCAGTGGATTTGAGTACATTCATAGAGTTGTGCATTCATCCCCTCATTTTAAAAGACTTCATCCTTTCCAGAAGAAATCTCGTCTCTATTAGCAGTCACCTCCTACTTATATCTAACCATCCCAGCCCTGGGCAACCACTACACCACCTTGTCTTTATGGATATGCCTATTTTAGAGAGGTTGAATCAGTGGAAACACATAATATGTGGTCCTATGTAACTGGTTTCTTTCCTTTAGTATAATGTTTTCAAGTTCTGTCCATGTCATACTCTGTGTCAGTAATTTATTTCTTTTCATTGTCAAATAATAAGTTGATTGTATGACACACCACATTTTATTTATCCATTCATCAATCGATGGATATTTTAGTTGTTTCCATTTTTGGCTATTCAGATACTATAAACATTTCCCATACAAGTTTTTGTATGCACATATTTTCATTTTTTCTTAGAATTTCTGGGACACATGGTAATCTAAATTTTAACTTTCCGAGGAACCACTTGACAGGTTTTTAATATGACCATATCATTTTACATTCCAGTATAGCATGGTAATTTCAATTTTTCTACATCCTCACCAACATTTATTATTGTCTGACTTTTTGTGATAGTCAGTTTGATTTGTAGTTAGATTACTTTTAAAAATTTAACAGATTAATAAAAATAAGACAAGTTGACGCAAAACCATGTCTTGGTAAGTGTTTTAAGAAACACATTTTCATTGGGCTTAGTACAAGTCTTATTAATTGGGTTCAAATCTCGCAGTGGACAGTTAGGTACAGGATAAATATCTAATGTTTTAAATACTTGAGACCAGAAGCATTTTAGACTTTGGATTTTTAAAGAAATTTTGAATGGGCTGGGGATATAGCTCAGTGGCATAGCACCTGCAGGGCAAGCATGAGGTCATGAGGTCAATTCCTAGTACCAAAATAAAATAAAATAAAACTTTGGGTATTTACATATACATAATGAAATATCTTGGTTATAGAACCCCAGTGTAAACATGAAAGACATTTATGTTTCAGATGCATCTTCTGAGATAGCCTGAAGTTAAATTTATACAGTGCTTATAGTGTGCCTTCACTTTTACTGCAATGTATCACATAAAGGCAGGTGTAGAATTTCCCATCCTTCTGGCACTCCTAAAGTTTCAGATTTTGGAGTATTTTGGATTTCAGATTTTGGGGTTAGGGACATTCTTCCCGTGTTTCAGAATGTGAAATGTACTTGATTGTTGGCTGGATTTCCTATTTCTAGGCATTTGATGTAAGGAGATAACTATATCTTTGGAAAACATTGTGTCCTTACTGTGGCACTATTTCTAATCTCATAATATCAAAAACTTTAAAACTAATTTCAATGTCTACGAGGGCAACACGGATTAAATAAATTCTGAGGCACATATGGAGTATGTAGGCAATTATTACAAGTAATAGTGTATCTTTATTGTTATGGGAAGCTGCCTACTGTGCATAGATGGGAGCAAAAGCAGGTTATTGAATACCTACATAAGAAGAGTCCAGTCATGTAAAATATTTTTATGCAGAGAAAGATTTTTCAGAATGATGTTCAAAATGTTAACAGTGATTATATTCCTGGGGTGGAATTTTAGGTAACATTTTTCACCTTGTTCTTTGTACTTTTTGAATTTAATTTAGCTAAAAATCAGTTCCCATAATTTTTAAAGAAAATTATAAAACTATTTGAAAAGACTATGCATTTTAGAAGTCCCATTTTTATCAAGGCTTAAATTTTAGTTAAAAACCCTTCCCCTATCATTATTTTTTTTAAACCTTGAAGCCATGTACTAAAGGCATAAAGAAATTCATTCTTGAGGTGATTATATCCTCTTAGTGTAGAACACTGTCTTAGGCTCGTCCTTCAGAGAATTTTATTATGTACTTGAGTCTTTGTATAGTTCTTTTATGAGGAGGAAAGCTGGGTATTAAGACTTTGGGGTCATGCCAAAGCTCAAGGGTAGGAGCGTATAAAAATGGTGCTCTGTCTTTTCTGGTTTGGGGGATAATTGCTTTGGGTTAACATATTCTTTATTCTACTCCTTAACCTCCTTTGTAAAAGAATGACAGCAACAACTTTTATGGGGTGGGGTGGGGAGCTTATCATCAGTCAGGAACTGTACTAAATACATCACACGTACTTTACACATTTAACCTCACACAGTCCTGTGAAGCTAATACTGCAGTTCTGATATTTCACAGATGAGGAGCCTAAGACCCAGGGAGGTTAAGTGACCTCCCCAAGGTCTCTCCGCTAGGGAACGGCTGAACAGGGGCTAGAGCTCAGCAAGTCTGATTCCTAACCCTCCACTGTCTCTCTCACTTTCCTCCTAAATATGATTCCCAACACTAATTTTCCTTGTCCCAAGTTGTCATTTCTACCAGAAGTGCCGTGGAGACTGAGGTAGAGAATGGTCCTTCCCAAACTTTCCTGCAGCAAATGCTGTGGGGAGTCATCTCTTTGCTACTCTTTTATTTATCAGTTGAGTCTCTTAGGTTATATACTGCATCCTTGACATCTTCTCTCAAGTGCTTGGATTTCTTACTCTTGAAAGTTGGAGATTCACTGGGGGCAGGGGGTTAAGTCTTTTTCACATGTGTTTCAACTGTGTGCCAAGGCCGAGTGCTTAGTGCTTAGTGCCTAGTACTTAGAGCTTAATGCTTAGTGCTGAGACAGAAGAACATGGGCTGTTCTTTTCTGTGACTGGGTGGAGGCTTCAGCTTATGTGGGACAGGGCCCGTGTGGCCTGATCTTTTGAATCTTAGTTAGAGCAGACATAATTTTTACTAGGTTATTCCTTGTTCTATCAGAGTAATATATGCTCAGTGTAAAAATTTTGGACAATACAAAAAAGTGTACAGAAAAAATTAAAAGCATGTATAATCTTACCGTCCTGTGATGACCACTAGTAACTATAATTTCCAAACGTATATTTGTTTTATGCAATCCATAGCCATGTATGAAAACTGAGTCTTCTAAATAAATTTATATGCAATAATTTTAGCAAGAGCCTAACGATGCCATTAGTGTGCAGGATTGTTGTTAAAAGTTGGTGACATTTTAATTTCCTAATTTTATACTCCAGTTTGATTTTTTAGTTAAAGAAAGGAAATACTTGTGGGTCTTTTAAAATATTAATATGAAGTGATATGAACAGATATAATGGTCTCAATGTTTTTATTTACTCCTGAAAGTGATTTTTCCTTTTTTTTTTTTCCACCTGACAGCTTGTGTATAGTGCAGGCCTTCAATGTATACTTAGTAATTTTATGTGAACAGGTTAAGAGCTACTTAAAATGCTATCAAAATAAAAGTTTTGATATTTGTAATTTTGGTTGTTATTGTTTTTGCTATTTTGTTGTGATTGGGAAATTTTATTTATGGTATTTTACTATTATCCTGGGAGGAAAGGATTATAAATCTCACCAATATAATAACAATAACGACGACAAAGAAATTCTTATGGTATGACATATGACAAGTAATAACCCTGTTAAGTTTGATTGCAGTTGAAATAGCTTGTCTGAGCCTTATTTTTAAAAGCCATTTTGTATCAGAATGACTTCTATAATCCAAACATCTATCCTCTTGTGTTTTCTAGGCATCTGGCCGTCTGAAGAGGTTTTGGCTTACTACTGCCTCAAGCACAGTAATATATTCAGGTACAGAGCTGCACTTAAAAGAGATTTGTTTATCCCATCATGGATATTGAATCAGTGTATTAAAAATGCCCTTGTTTGCATTCTTCAAATTAAATTGTTAGAAAGAAAGAAGAAGAAAAGAAAAAAGTTCACAGTGAACACATGTTGCTTCTGAAAAAATTCTGCATTGCTGTTGGGTACTAATATTGCACAGCAAGCTTTTTGCTATATGTCAAAGTCTTTTGATTTCCACTCAAGGCATTTTATTTCACTTTGATTTGGGGGAAACAAAAGTGAAGCTCCAATCAATCCTCTACTGATTGCAGAGGTCAAAAAGTGAGAAAAGAAAAAAAGACACAAAATAAAGGCTTCTTTAAACTTACACAAGGGAAATCATTACAGAATATTTGATAAATAAATACCTCATAGCTATTATTTAATGGTCTAAAAAAAGATACCATCCTGCCATGATTTTAAAGGTGTTTTATGTACTTGTCAATATGTTTGTGAAATATAAATTGCTATACAGAATCATGCTACAGAAATAGGTGCTTTCAACTGTTAGTATGAACTAAAGATCAATCCATGGATGAGATTAAGGAAAATAAAAATATTGCTTTTATTTTAAAACTCTAAATTTGTTTAGTAGACCCCCAAAACACAGGCTTTTCATTTTAATTCTCATTTATAAAAGTTATCCAATATGTACTTCCTGAATAGTCCATTATGATTGCAGACAAGCCATTAGTGACCATGGTGTGTGTTTTCACAATATGTACTTACAAGATTGGGTCAATAATATGCAGTTTTTGAAGCTCTATGAGTCCATATTTAGCAACCAGTCTATAATTGCTTTGAACAGCTAAGTACTTTTTAAATGTATTTCCAGATATGAATGTCCTCTCCTGACTTCCTCTGCTCCCCTTTCCCCACCCATCCCACCCCTTTTAATTTTGCTTTTTTTTCTCCTCTTGAGGTAATAAACTTCCTGAATTGGGAAGAAGAAACAATCTCAAGAGTCTAAGCATATAAAATAAGAACAGGGCAGTTTTGAATTTGGGCTGCAGAGCTGCCCTGAAAGACTGGCATTTGCTCATCTCGCTGTGCTTAAGCTTGACTGGAGCTCCAATCAGCGAGCAGTGGGCCAGGGCGAGAATGTCACACGTTGAGGGCTGATATTTAGGCACAAAGGGGAAGGTAAGTGCAGAATGGCACACTAGACTGTCAGCTTTAACTCCGAGCCGCTTTACTTTCAAGCAGTGAAGCCAAAGCCCAGTCATTACTTCAGCCTGGGTTTGCTGGTTTAACCATATTATGTCCCTGCATTGTTTATTCCTGGTGTTGTGTTGGGGTCAATTGTTATTTAAGTGTTAATTGCTAAAGGCTCTTTGTGTAATTGTGCTCTATGGAGATGGTTTGACTTTCCAAAATGTTTCAGTTTGTTTTAGAATTTTTTTTTAATTCAAGATTGCATTTATTTGTGTGTGTTGTGTGTGACTATAATATAGGTATATACACACTCACATATATTCTTCGTTTACTTGTCTGTTTTTGAAGGCATGAATGTGGATTAACAGTGTTATCCTTTCCTAACAATTATCTTTCGCTACTCTAGCTAGTTTAGTTCTAAAAGACAGCGCCATTGACAAGGGGAAAAAAAGGGAACCTTCTCAGATTTTTCAGCTCAGCGGTGGTAATGTTGCAGTGAACACTAATGAGGGAACCCCCACTGATTTGCCTGCTTTGTGACTTTTCTATTTCATAATTATTTTTAAAACGCAAAACGACATGAGGTAGCCCAGTCGTGGCTCCACAACTTCCTGGTAGCGTCGTTCTTACTGCAGATGGCAATTTGTTCTTGTAACATATATATCTCTCTGACCATTTTCGTCTAATTTGTATGGGTTCTACCATTTCTTTTCTCTCTTTCAGGGACCTTGCTGTGTGTGAGCTAGGGGGTGGCATGACATGCTTGGCTGGGCTCATGGTAGGTCTTTTCTCAATTCCAATCCCATTCAGAGGGAAGAACAAAAGGGAAAATGTTCCAGGGCCTCCAACTGCTGGGTCAGAGAACCGTCAACAGCATCGGCTGCAGTCAAAGCTGCCGGGCCTTGAGAGACCTTCTAGATTGACTTACTTTCGGATCATATTGATTTTAGGGTTGCCTCGATGAGCAGAAACATTTTACCTCCGTGTAGTCAATATCGCTTGTTGTGACATTCCAGGCCTCTCAGTCTTTCTTTGCCATAACGAAAGCATTTCTTTTTTTCTTTCTTTTTTTTCCCCTCTTTTTCTTTCTCCTTTCTTTTCTTTCTTACTTTCTTTTTTCTTCAGATTATAGTCCCATTTGCTAAGATACAGGAATAGCCTGGCAAATCACAGTTGGAGCACCATGATATAGCTGCTAATGTTTTGCCTGCATTATTACACCAACAAACATGATCCAGAGCGCTCAGTAATTAGATTCTTTTGAATTAGATTGGCCATTCAGGAACGTCGTTCCCTATTCTCTGGGTTCTGAGTCATGTATTCAGGAGATATTATGTAGCAGCACAGTGCATTAGACAAGTTTTTATGTCTCTACAAATAAAAGCATATTGTTACACTGATTGGCATTTGACAAACCTGTCGCTCTTATACAATGTGTCGAGGTTACAGCCCAATGTGCGAGCATGTCAAAGCTCACAAAAAAATTACCCTCACAAAGCCATCTGCCTGCAATGCAAAGTTATATGAAGGGCATCAGGCAGTCAGACAGAAGCAGGCTGAAAGGCAGAGTGACAGCCTTGTATGATGGCTCTACTAGATAAACAGAAGCCCACAAATGAAAGCCTCTCAGAATACCATCATCCGCTGTCACAATGCAATTACCGAACAGAATGATAGCAAGATAGAGGCTCCCGCAAATGGAATGATAAAAGTATTGACTGATTTGATTGAATGATTAAAATAATGCAGACATAAAATGAAAAAAGATTGAAGATTGTTACAGAGAAATAGGTGAGGAAGCATGATACTGAAGGGTTGTCACTCCTGTCTTCCCTTCCACACAGACAAGCGTATTTGCTCATTGTTTGCTGTGCTCCTTTTTTTTTCAGGTTGCTATTTCTGCAGATGTCAAAGAAGTTCTGTTAACTGATGGGAATGAAAAGGCCATCAGAAGTATCCTTATTCAGATAGAAAACGGGTTTGTTGTGCTCATTCCTTTTTCCCGGCTGAGTAACAATTGATATAAAGAAAGACAGCATGGGGTATTAAAAAAGAGGTCCCCCACACGCACATGATAAGTAATTAAGGAAAAGTAGAAATATATGAATTCATTGCTTTTGACCACATGGGTTTTTTTTTTTTAACCTTTCGATAGATTTTTATAGACACTTCATGTTAAAGGAGATTATGTTTTGTGGACTCTCAACACAATAAGAAAATTTATCTTGTAATAATTTTCAAGCATTCCTGTTTTTTATTAAGATTTATCACTATAAAATAAATTATTTAATATTTACTTTATTTGGTTTTGCTCACAAATATTAGCTTCCACCTACCTATTTTGTGTCTGTTGTTATATGTACCTAGGTGACATTGTGCCCATCCTAATTGCTAAGGAGTTACCTATATCCCACTGGAAACAGCTATCAGTTCTTCATTATTTCCTTTTATTTATGATTATAAGAGCTATCTCTTTTTTTCCTGCTATGCTATTACAGTTCAAACCCCATTATATTAGATTATGCTTTACTAATATGTACACAGAGTTCATGAAAATTGAACTGTATTTTAACTAAGAAAGCAAGCATAATTTGTGGCTACTTTAGCAGTCAAGCTGATTTGCTCAGGGGCAGTTAACAGCCGTTAGACATTGAGAGGCAAAGTGGAAGATATGTTTGCTTTGAATTTTTTTGGTGTGCCTTACATTTATGCGATGAGGAGGCAGTCCACTTACTTGAATTTTAAGCCCCTAAAATGCCAAAACAGCTTTGATGTTTACAGAATCACACACACACAAAAACACTCTTTTTTCAATTTTCATTTTTCTACCTCCACGGTATAATTTTTTGAAAATAAAATTCACTGCAGCTCAATCAGGCTGCTCGCACAGGAGGAAGGAGATACAAGAAGCACAGAAGCCAATATTGTTCAGCAGCACTTGTGTGCTCTACAGAGCCCCACCCAGCTAATTGCCTGACAGACCTAAAAAAAAAAAAAAAAAATTCAGGAATGAAAAACAGCCAATCACAATCTTGGCCTTTCACACAAGGGAAAGAGATCACAAAAGGTGCTTCCTTTTTTAAAATGCAGGATTTTAATCATGATCCTGAGACTGTCGCAAGTTTTTCAAAATATTCCTGGAGATGAGCTGATGTTGTTTCATTCACTCTGCCTTATTCAGAGTTATTCTCTGCATGTATCATTTCACTGTGCTCCTCCTCCTTATGTCAGGAAATACAGAGAACAAGAGAAAGCTCAGGTATGCCAGCTCAGCCCCAGTGAATGTCATTTGGAGGGGAAGAAAAATGGAAATAGTGAACAAGAGAAGGCTATTTTACCTACAGAAACTTTCAGATTGAACCCAGTAACCTGGGAGTTTTCTCAAATCAGCAGGTGTCTTATTTAATAACATTGGAAACCAATTAGAACTTTTAACAAAATATGGGAAACATCTGTAGTCAGTATGTAAATTTAAATGTACTAAAATTATTACTGAGCTAAGCTATAGAGCTTCTAAAGAAGGGAAGGAAAGCTAATGTCATTAATTATCACACCTTTGCTTCACAGAGCAAAGATGCCATGCCAGCCCTTGAAATCAGAGAGGAAATCTCAGATTCTGCATTCACTCTGCCGGCCTTTCAAAGAAATGATTGGTACAGCCCCCTCCCAAGAAAATGGATTTTTAACATTTGGTCCTCAGAAGCTCAGCCCTGAGAGTGCTTTATTGTGCTGAGTTTTACAATGGGTTTAATATAGCAGGGTGCCAAAGGGCAGGAGGGGAAGAACTTTACAATGTAGATAAAGTAGGTCCTTTCAGGATGCAGAGCAAAACTGATTGTGTGGTTTATTTTATCTCTTAGGACTTTACTGATAGAGTTCAGTTTTTATCATACAGTTGTTCTATGTTTGTGTGCCTTTTTGTGTTGTAACTAGATCTAATTTTTTTAATTAAGAGAAAAAAGCATGAATCAAGCCTTAAAATTGGCAATGTGTTTTTCCTGCTTTTAATACTAATGTTGTTCTTGACTTGCTAACAGACCTTACAATAGGCATCCGTTGTAATCTGTTTTACTGAGTGAGGTTAATATGAGTGAATATTTCCCCCATTTGTGTGCCCACTCTGTAAGAATAACTAATTCACTGAATCACATACTATTGATGCGTATAGATCGAAACAAACTCATTTAAAAATTACTGTTTACATCTTTCTTTTAAAATTTTAGGAAGCCTAAATTATATACCAGTTGTAGGACATTATCCAAAAATTACTTTCTAAAAAGTAAAAGTGGATGTCAACAAAAAAAGAGGGGGAGAAACATTGCTAGAAGCCAGAAAATCTCTAAGCAAAGCTGCTAATTATTCTTAATGGGCAAGATGAGCACATTAAGAAACAAATGAGTACATCAGTGAAATGTAATTGAAAATCGACCTGGCAATTGCACATCACATCTGAGTATTGGCCTATATATTATTCTCATCATTTTAAAAATTATTTTTGTTTTTCTTGGCTTCTGAATTTAAAGAATCCAACAAAGTTTTACTTTCTAGTCTCTTAAACTCTTAAGATTCTGATTTTTAACCTTTTTTTAAAGAAAAATAACATTTTCTGGTTTTCCTTTTAATCTTCTGTTATTTCTGTTTTTTAATATGTGAGGCAGTGAATGGATTAGTTCTGAATCTTTATATCACAGAAGCTTGTCAACCAGTTCTGAGTTTACTTATTATCCTCCTAAAATGTATCAAGTGGATTGGCTGTGTCTTCTAGAAATCTCTACCTTGACCCTGAAAAGTTAGATGTTGATCTGAGATTTATTAAACAGAGATATGTGGAAAGAGATTAAGAGTTGAGGTAAAATGAATTTTCTAAGTCTTGAATATTTTCTTTGACTCATGGGTAGGATTCTTGGAGGCTCTGCTCGCTCCTTAAAACAAATTGCTCAGTGGAACACAGAGCCGCCTGGTTGAGAACTATCTGTCCCTATAGGTACCATTTTATTTCTACTCCAAGAGAGCAAAGAATAAATAATAAAAGAATAAATTGGAAATGAAATCATTTGGTTCATCCAGTTGTCAAAATTATTCTAGAATACTGTGAATTGTATTCCTTTTTCTTTGGCATTAAAGGAGAATGCCATAATACTATAATAAAAAATCTCTAAGTGCCTATATATAACGATTCCTCAGTAAGACTTGTAGCTGGTGATGACAATGCCATAAGCAGAAGGAAGGGAAGTGGTATGCTGAGTCATTATTGATGCCAAGCCTTTTCCAACTCATAATGAATAAAAGTAGAATATCTCAAGGGGAGCACCCTCTCTGGCTCTAACTGCTAACTCATCCAGTGCATGCACCCTGCTTTAATTCATTCTTAGTAAAAGTCTAATGTGTTATCTGAAGAATAGTCCATTGCTTACTCACCCATTTCTCTGTACTCTTGACTCAAACATCTTATCACCATAGTGCACTGTATATATCATGGTCTAGAGCTTAAGATTCTGCCAAAAGAGGCAAATCTCCTACACTTCTAAAAGGAAGTACTCCTAGCTTAACATCGTTTTATTAGCAGAATCCTTGAGTTGTAAACTTGCTAAATGAAGCTTCCTGTGGATGGTTGAGAACTTGGGAATCCCAAGCCATTATCCTGGGTCCAAACCCTTCTAATAGTAATGCCAGTTTTACCTCTGTCTACTAGATGAGTCGTAAGTAAATTCTATCTATCTCATTTCAGGTAGGAGCTCAACAAACATCTTTTAAAGTTAAATTTAAATTTATTCAATGCATATTAATTGTATGCCATATCAGGGGCTAAGGATATAGAAGTGGATAAGAAAAATGTATTCACTGTCTTCATGAAGTGAAGAGTTTGCTGGGGCTAGAGTACATTTATACATGAGAAAGACTCTGGAAAAACTACAGGGCAGAAGTTTTTCAATTTTCTCCATTCATTTCATTTTTACAACATAAATATTCACCTACTTAGCTCTGAGCAGCAGAGACAGAAAATAAACCTCCCCTGGCAAGCTTCATTTTAGTTATTATCACTAGTCTCTTTGTTCTACAAAAACTTTTGCCTAAATTATTCAAATACAATAATTAATCAATGTGAATTATGCACATACTATGTGGTAAGCCCATTAAGTCTATAAAATAGGTATCATCTATTGCTGTTTGAGAAGTGGCTCAAAGAGGTTGATTGACTTAAAACCACACAACTAGAAGCTAGGTTCATTTGCTTTGAGGCATGTTTTTTCCCATCAAACTTCCCGGTCTCACCAAAAATGAGAATGCCTGGGTGAGTGTCATCTTGCATTTCCTCAGCACTCTCTACAAGAAAAGTCCTTTCATGCATAAACGTAACAGTTGGTGTTGCTAACTGAGAGTTCATAGACCTCTGTGTCATTCTCTCAATTCACTGGAATAATAAGCAGAGTTAACAAAGGTTTGCAACTTTAAGTCAGCAAATATTGACACAATAAGCATTTATAAATGCTTTAGAAATAAAAATTAATAGGCATAATCTTATAGTTTCTTATCCTCACTTTTAAGGACCCAATTAGATACCAAGAAAGTAATGCATTATTCTTATTTTTGAAATATTCTCTTACTTAAAGAACAATGTCACTTGTCAGAATGTATATAGAGCTACTCATGAATAAAGCAATCACTAATTACAGGCAGAGGTTAAATTTTTAAACAACATTTTATATACATATATACATTCTATATACATATATACATTTTATATACATATATACATTTAAATGACAATTATAGCTAATATATACAATTATATTTTTGAGAATAAAAATCAAGTGAAATAATATTAAAATGGAGCCCCACTCCTGAATTGTGCTTTGTTTGAGAGGAAAATCTAAGGATAGGATTCTGGTTTCCTTTGAGCCATGAACATATGTCTTGCAGCTCTGAAAGTCCGGTTGCCCAGACAAGGGGATTGGAAGTGATCTCTCTATGTCCGCTTGATCAGGAATCACATTAAGACTTTTTTTGCACCCGGCCCCTCCCATTGAAGTCTTCGGTGAGGTAGGTGCAATGCAGAGAGTATGATCTATGTTTGACACTGTTCTGGACATATTGACTGGATTTGATTGGATTTCCTCCATTACCCTGAGGTGACATGGAAAAATGATAAAAATCTATTATCAGACACAATGCCGTCCAGACAAACCATCAAAATCCGACCTAAAGGAAAGGGTGTGGAGCAAAATAGCAGAATTTATTTAAGGTAATATTTAAAATATGATTACCACTTTTCTTGGTACTTGTTTTAATATTAAAAACACTTTCTAAACCACAAAATATATTCCCTGCCCAGTTCTAAAAATAAAGCAGCCTAAATACTGCTGTGAATTTTTTCATTAAAAAAAAAAATTGCTCCCAGAATATAAATACATGCTTGCTTCAGCCTGACCACCTGGAGTCACAGGTTTATAAATTGTTTGAAAGTATATAGTGTTAAGATGTTTACTAAAAATTATTAATAGGTTTTCTGAGTTATATAATTTAACTTCCCTGTACTATTTTATAAAAAGTATTACCTCCACTAACAAAATAATATGTTTTGCTTGATAGATTAGTCATGTACTCATATGACGCCACAGGTGTACCAGGCACATTATGGCCTGCAGTTGGATGCCATGGCAACGCTGAGTCGGGTGTGGCCGGAATGTGGGGGGAACTTAATCAAAAACAGTTGTCAGTTGACTCTTTCCTAATTTTGTTCTTCTCAGAATAAAGATGTCAGCTGTCCTTTTCTGCCAGGCATTTCATTTAGAAGACTTTCCTGAAATACTTTCTTCCTGAAATAGACAGAACTGTAGGCCGATGTGTCATTTTAGTTAATCAAAACAAGTAGGCAAATTAGTCTCCTTTATTTTTTAATGAATGTAATTTAACGGTATTTAATTTGCATACAGGAAAGTTCACCCAGGAAAAAAAGTCTGCATTATAGCACTTTTGTAAACCTCAACAAAGCCCTTCATTAGGAGACCTAATTGATTTTTCCTACCCACTCCTGGGGGAAGAAAGCTATCACAGTACCTGCTTATTCACTCAGAGAAGAAATGGGTGTGCCTGGTGGTTCAAGCAGAGATTTGGGTTAAAAAGTCCTGTGGCTCTGTTCTTACAGGGAGATCTCGGCCAGTGCTGGCTTTGAGTATTCAGGAAATCTGTTTTTCTGAGCAATAGGGGAACATCGCCTGTCTGCTTGGTGTCCTCCCCATGCGCCCAATTTAGTTCAGCTTGCAGCCTTTACTGGAATTATTTTATTTCTTGTTTATTTAAACCTGCCTCATTCCAAATGGGGTTTCTGAGGCTTCTTACAGTAACATGTGGAACATACCATGCCCGATAAATGAGAAAGTAAGAGCAATTGGAATTAGAAAGCCAGGCAAGTATGGTGAAGCCAGGAACAGGGGTCAGTACAGAAAATATATGCCATAGGAACTCTTCTGGTTGCCAGACATTAGGTCCTGATGGGCACCAGGACCTTAGCAAAGACAAAGCACCAGTTAGGAGATTTACAGTGCCCAGAAGTTAAAGTAAAGTCAGTTGACCTGTGGTCCAGCTTTTCCTGGTGTTGAAACAGTGTTTTCCCATGGACCCCGACACAGGTGAAACTGTGTGAGGTAACTGATCAGCTCCTCAACACATCCCTTTAGTGAACACAGATCTTTAACCACGGCTCAGTAAAAGAGTCCCTCCTTGCCAGGAGGTAGCCACAGGCCAAACTATACATCTGCCAAGACAGTGCTTCAAAGGGCCTTGCACTGGACTTTCTTCTTCAGTAATTCATTTTCTCTCCAAGATGCTCTAAGCTTTTCCTCACCTTTTTCTTCTTACTTACCCCACATTTCTCCTTTCTGCTCATTGCAACCTTCCTTCTAGAATTTAGGAGACTAGAAGTATTTCAACTCGAACATCTCAGTACCTGGCATTGCCCTGCCCTCTAACTTGAAGGCACCTGCCTTGAACTCCTAGCTCTTTCTAGCAAGTGGGGCATGGCACCCATGCAGCACTCGTTCCCCATTGGCACTTCCACTCCAGGCCTTACGAGGTGCTACCCAGATGTGTATTTTAAGTGTGGCAAACGGCAGCCTATGAAATGAAGATGTTGCTTGTGCAGGTCAGCGTTTGGTGGCTGAGGCACACTTACAGTTGTCTGCCTCATACTGTATAACTCCTCTTTTTGCTATGTTGATTCCATTGTGATAAGATCATTGTGTTGTGGGCTTTTTATCTGAGTCAGTTGACAATCACTGTCAAGATTTTCTTAACTGTGTCCTGTAGATGTAAGAGAAATCATCACAAGGAATCAGAGGGCTGGTGTATTTAAGACTCAGAATATATCAAGCTGGTAAGATGCTTTTCTACATTGAAATGCTCTAGTTGAAATGGATAAGCTGTTTTACTTTTACACTGTTGATGATTAATAGGTACCCTTATTATTTGCAGTTGATAGCTGAGAAAACTGAAGGTGAGTATGGGGATGACGCAAGGTTTGAGGTCACACATTATGAGGTTGAGAGGAGCTCAGCCTGGGACCTTCTTGTATCGCGATATTCCACTGGTTGTCAACCTGAGGCAGTTTTGTCCACCAGGGGATTTTAATGTTCTCTGGAGACGTGTTTTACTGTCATGATTGAGGGAAGAAGGGACAGTGTTGCTCCTAGAATCTGTGGGTAGAGGCCAAAATTACCACCCAGAGTCATTCACTGCACAGGACCCACAACAAAGAAGTACCCGGCCCAAAATGTCAGTAGGGCTGGGGTTAAGAAACTAGCTCTGGTCTATGATTTGCAATAATCAATATATACATTCCCTTTTAGATTCTCTTAATTCTTACTCAGACTAGGAGAAATTCTTGCCTTCAACCAAAACAGTGCTGTGTTTTCCCTGATGCTACATTTTATTTTTGCCTTTTGGCAATGGACCTAGAAGAAACGAGTAATCCTGTAGTAGTTTTCACATGAGATATCTGTATTTCTGCATTTTTATCAAATTCATTTAATTCTAGGTGTTATAAAATAAGCAGTTTTATTTTAATTATTTTATCCCTTGCTATTTTACATCTTTGCTTTTGCTGAGGACACTTTCCTGCCCCAGCTGTCTAATTTGAAAAGTTAGATGAATCATGCTTAAAATCCTACATGGGGGCTATACTGGTATGAGGTTGTGAAATAGTATTTTATTTCTGTTGGTGAATTCAGTGAAGTGTCCATAAACATATATAGTTTTAAATCCTGCATTAGGATCTTCCATATTGACTGATGGCCCAGGTGGGCAATGCGGTTTCCTTATATAGATGGACAAAGCAGTTTCCCACAAAACCTCAGGCATGTCCAGACAAAGAGAAAGAGCTGGCTGTTCCTGTACCTTGCTCCTTCCTGGGCCAGCCTTCCCTCTGCAGTACAGATGGCCATCCTTTCTGGAGAGGACTTCATTTTTGGACCTGATTTTCAACCTAGTCTTTTAGTTATCAATCAAAAGTGCATTTTCTATGTTGTCCTCATTTACATTTATTTAGTGCTTAAGGTCATTTGTGACCATTTGAGTGTGTTTCAGCATATGGAATCAGGGAATAATAGATTTCAGCTTCATGCTGTGAAAAGAGATTGTGTTTTTTACAAGACAAAATGTTGTTTACTGGGTGTTAATAATCACTAATTAATAAACACATTCAGATTTCTAAAATGTTGCATTTTAAGGAATAAAAGTGTCAAGTGTTTAACTTATGGTGTGTAATAATATTTTTCTATCATCTCTTTATCAAATAATTGTTATATAAAGCAGCAAAATGTTCAACACAGGATAAATCCCAAAAGCTTAGTACATGGCCTTTGTTTTCCTTTTTCTGTTCTTTAAAAAATGCAGTTTCTAAGTATGTGACTCTGATGTGTACTTGGACATACAGTCTGTATTTTAGTACTCATACAAGATGAGAAGGGTTTTTTTTCTTTCTTTCTTCAGGTCCCACCTTTCCATCTTTATCTCATTCTATTTGTGGTCAGTTTCTTCTCCATAAGCCACTGCAAGCATTTTGTCCAAAGTCTACTAAAGCACTTGCCAGAAAACAGGTGGATGAATCAGTCCTTGAAATGCCTTAATCTTGTATTGAGGAGCTACTTGACCACTTAACCTTCAAGCAGCTAAAGGAAGCTGCCAACCGGTGATGTAATAATCAGCATTCCCCTTCCATCCACTGCTTTCCCACCCAGAACCAGCACAATGTGACGAAAGCATTAGTTCCATGAGGGAAGAAATGAAAGGAAACCATTCACAAAAGAGCTAAGATACAGTTCAATATTCTTTTTTAGTGCCTCAATGCATATGCAGAATTTCTCCTCCAAATTGGAGGTGTGAAATAACAGTAGCGACAGATAACTAAGAGGTATTTACCATAGCTACAAAGCCTACATGTGAGCCAAATATTTCTGCTATTAAAAAGCACTTCAAAGCTTGACATGAAGTTTGTAACAGCTGAATGTCTCTTGTGACTTCATTTGCAAAGGAGATGTAATCGCTGAGAGGAAAGCTGTGATATGAGAACTGTGAACCTAAGAAATAGCATTTTTAGAAAGGAAGAAGCTGCCTAGAATTTTGACTGGCAACCTCCAATTTCTGTCCTTGTGCTCCAGCAAGGGTCTTAGGAACTTCTATGGTCTGAATAAGTGTTCCCTAAAGGCCCATATGCTAAAGCCTTGGTCCCCAGCTGTGCTCATACCAGAAGGCAGTAAAGCCTTTAGAAGGTAAGGCTTACTGGACAGAAGCTAACTGAACAAATAATCATTTGGAACTTGCTGAGGGGGAATGTTGGCACCCTGGCCCCTTCCTGTCTTTGTCTTTGCTTCCAGGCCACAATGAGGTGAGCAGCTTCCTCTGCCATGCACTCCCACCATAACATAGTGCCTTGCCACAGTCCCAAGAGCAGCCAGCATACTGACTGTGGGCTGAAACCTCCACAGCTGTGAGCCCAAATAAACCTTTTCTCTTTATAACTTGACTCAGTCACGGAAAGCTGCTTGACTGAAGATCTCTTCTTTTGCCACTTTTCCTACGTCTCACAGGGGCAGACCCAGGTTGTGTGAGGCCTGAAACTTATTTTGAGGCTCTTCTTTAGGAGGGTGAACTCAGTTATGCTTTACTTTGGTGAATTTTACAGGGACGTATGATCAAATGAATACATTCTCAGGGCTTCTTTAGGGGTCTTTCAGAGGGAGGGGCTCTGGTGGTAAGCCTTAGTAGGCTTGCAATAAGTCTGCCCTGCCCTCATAAAAAACCACTATCTTTTCCCAAGATATTTCCTTTCTCTTCCATACTAAAGTTTCTTCCTCACACCGGACTATTTTATTCCAAGTTTTCTTGTTGTTAAGTATGAAAGACATATTTGTGGAAGTCCAGAAGCCTCAGCTCTGGCAGGTCCAGGATCCACATATACCAAGCATTCTATGCATTACATTTCAGAGATGTTATTACCGTCATTTGATGGCTTATTCATTCACTCATCCATGTAGTCATCCATTCATTTAACAAATATGTCCAAGGCTCTCAGCCTTTGGGAACCTAAATATGGAGTTATTGACAATAGTTATTGAATGAAGGAAACTGTACTACTAACTATAGCTAAAAATTAATGAAAGAGCAAGGATATTTACAGCACCTCAATTGTTGGGTTTATCTGAAGCTGTCTTCAAAATTGTGATGATCTAACAAAGAACCGTTTGGAATGTTTGACATCTACTTATTTCTAGGTCTTCCGGAATTAGTGAATAGCATCATTCTTGGCTTAATATTAGTTGAAAGCTACAATACTTTAAAGATTCTGTTAAATTTACCCTTTGTGGTGTTAAAAATGAGTTTCAGTTAAGAAAAGAACCTATGTGTGAAAGTTGGTAGTAAATTTAAATTGTGACTTTTATTATTCAATGATAAATCATAAATTTGTAGTAAACTATGAAACTTATTTTATGACTTTTTTAAAACCCAGATTTTACATTTATGTGGTTCTTGAATTAGCTATTGGTCCTATTGCCCTATTGTTTAAAATTCAGGTCTATGGCCATCAAATTCCTGTAGAAGTTAAATTGGGAAAGTGGAAGTGATTTTAAAAATCTGCAGGGTGTGGTACTGAATGTCTGTAATCCCAGCACTTGGGATTGTAAGGCAAGAGAGTTGAGATTTTGAGGCTAGACTGGGGTATATAGTGAGTCCAGGCCATTCAAACTGTCTGTCTCACACACACAAATGATTAAAATGTATGTCCCAGCCAAGTGGGATGCCACTGCTGCTCTTTCCAGGCATTCTGCAGTCTGCCTTCACCCTCTTCATTCTATTTATCTGTTCACTACACCCCAGCTTTCTCCTTCAAACACCCAACTTCCCATCTCTGTAGCAAAATACCTGAGATATTTAACCTTGAGATTTCATTCCACAATCGGGTGCACCCATTGCCTTGAGCCTTTGGTGTATTTCCAGTGATGAGTATGCAGCAAAGCAAACTTTCCACCTCATGGCCAGGAAGAAAAAGAGAAAAAGGAAATGGTCAGGATCCCACAAGCCCTTCAGGGGCAGGTTGCCAACGACTTATATACATTCCACGTGGCCTATTATGGTTTGTGTCTGGATGTCCCCCCAAAACCTTATGCAGTCATGGGGATCAAGCTTTTCAGAGGTGGTTGAATCTAGAGTTTGTGACTGATTCATGGTCCAGTGCTAGAATTAAGGACGTGAGTGCTACACCTGCCTTAGAACATGTAGCCTAAATACAAAATAAGGGTCAGAAAGAGGCTTGTCCTCTCTCTCTTTCTCTCTTTCTCTCCCCCACCCCCTGCTTTGCTACCTTCTGCCTATCCTGAATGTTTCTCCTCTGCAAGGCTTGTCTGCATGCTACCCTGCCTAGGAGCCAACCAATTATGGACTGAAACCTCTACAAACTGTGAGCCAAACATATCTTTTTCCCTTTAACTTTGAGTGTGGCGTATTTTGTCTCAGCAACAAGAAAAGTAACTAAGCCAAGGCCCCTCCTCTGAAAGGTTCTACCACCTCGCAGAAACGCTACCCCAGGGATGAAGCCTTTATTATATGGCCTTTGGGAGATACACATCACAACCACAGAACCTCCTCATTCTCCTCCCAACACATTTGGTCTTTCCATCTCTGGCCTTAGTCTTGTCATCTCCTCTTCACTCATCTAAATCATTCCTTCTAGAAGGGCTCCATTCTTTTAACTTCTGTTGGTCTTAGAACAGTACCACAGTGAATATGCATATTCTCTTATTCTTCAAAGCATGTGGGCTTTGTTTCTGTTTACTGGTTCATTCATTTGTTAACAAATATATCAATCACCTCCTGTTTCTC